ACAAATCCACTGTACACACAGTAGCAAATGAGCTACTCTGATTGCCCCTGTGGGACCTATAGGGAGAAGGAACGGAATCAACTCCTCCTCTCAGTGGTGGCATTAGATTCTCATAGGAGCGCGAACCCTATTGTGAACTGAGCATATGAGGGATCTACATTGCACGTTCCTTGTGAGAATCTAATGCCTGATGATTTGAGGTGGGACAGTTTCAACCCAAAACCATCCCCCTACCACCCCATCCATGAAAAAACTGTCTTCCATGAAACCGGTCCCTGGTGCCAAAAAGGTTGAGGACCGCTGCTGTACAACACCATCCACCCAACAGGATGTAATGGACATTTATGGAACGCCCCACTAATGACTGCAAAATGCACATTCTTTTCAAGTATCCACAAAATAGATGCCAAGACATCCATATTCTGCACCACAGGAAAAAACCATGATGAGTTTAAAGAAGTGAAATTAAACAGTGTGTTCTCTGACCATAGTGGAATCAAATTGGAAATCAGAAACAGAAAGCTACCAGCAAAGTCTTCAAACACTTGGAAACTAAGGAACAGACTACTAAACAAGCCCTGGACCAAAGAGGAAGTCCCAAAGGAAACTAAGGCCAGGTTCGGTGGCTCACACCTGTAACCCCAGCACTTTGGGAGGTTGAGGTGGGCAGATCACTTCAGGTCAGGAGTTGGAGACCAGACTAGCCAACATGATGAAACCCCATCTCTAGGCCGGGCGCGGTGGCTCAAGCCTGTAATCCCAGCACTTTGGGAGGCCGAGGCGGGTGGATCACGAGGTCAGGAGATCGAGACTATCCTGGCTAACATGGTGAAACCCCGTCTCTACTAAAAATACAAAAAAACTAGCCGGGCGTGGTGGCGGGCGCCTGTAGTCTCAGCTACTTGGGAGGCTGAGGCGGGAGAATGGCGTGAACCCAGGAGGCGGAGCTTGCAGTGAGCCGAGATCACGCCACTGCACTCCAGCCTGGGAGACACAGCGAGACTCCGTCTCAAAAAAAAAAAAAAAAAAAAAAAAGAAACCCCATCTCTACTAAAAATACAAAAATCAGCTGGGCTTGGTGGCAGGCACTGTAATCCAGCTACTCAGGAGGCTGAAACAGGAGAATCGCTTGAACCCAGGAGGCAGAGGTTGCAGTGAGCCGAGATCACTGTTCTGCCGCCTGGGTGACAGAGGGAGACTCCGTCTCAAAAAAAAAGAAACTAAAAATACACTGAACTGAATAAAAGTTGGACACAGTTAAAGCACTGTGAAGAGGAAAATGTATTGCACTAAATGCATATATTAAATGAGAAAAAGTCTCAAGTCAATAATCTAAGCTCCCACCTCAAGAACCTAGAAAATCAAGAGCAGAACAAACCCAAAGCAAGCATAAGGAAAGAAATAATCAGGAGCAGAAATCAACAAAATTGAAAACAGAAAACGGAAAATCCATGAGAAAAGAGCTGGTTCTTTGAAAAGATTTTTTAAACACTGAAAAATCTTAAGCAAGACCAGCTAGGAAAAAAAAGAAGGCACAAATAACCAATATCGGTAATGAAATGGAGGATATCATTATAGGCTTTGCACATATCAAAAGGATAATAAGGGAATACGAACTAATTACATACATACATTTCACAGCACAGACAAAATGGACCAATTTCTTTAAAAACTCAAACTACCAACACTCACCAGTATGAAATAAACAATATGAATAGCCCTATAACTATTAAGGAAATTAAATCCATAATTTAAGAACTCCCAAGAAAGAAATCTCCATAAGAACCTGATGGGGTTCCTGGAAAAAAGGAAGGAAGGAAGGGAGGAAGGAGAAAAGAAAAGAAATCTCCAGTCTTAGAAAGTTTCACTAGAGAACTCTACAAAACATTTAAAGAAGAATTAACATCAATTGTACACAACCTCTTTCAGAAAATGGAAAAGGAAGGAACATTTCCTAATTCATTTTATGAAGCTAGTTTTTCCACAATAATAAAGCCAGACAAAGCCATTACTAAAAAAAGACAACAGACCAATATCCCTTATGAATATAGACATGAAAATCCTTAGTAAGACATTAACAAATAGAATTTAGCAATACATAAAAATAATTATACACCATGACCAAGTAGTTTTTTCAAGAGAAGCAATGTTAGTTTAATATTTGAAAATCAATCAATGTAATCCACCAAATTAACAAGCTGAAGAAAAATCACACGATCACATCAAGTGATACAGAAAAGGCACCTGACAAACATCAATAGAGATTGAACACCCATTCACAATAAGGACTCTCAGAAAAACAAGAAAAGAGGGGAACATCTCAATTTGATAAAGAGCAAACTACAAAAAACAAACCAAAAAAAACCAAAACTAGAGCTAACATTAGACTTCATGAGGAAAGACTAAATGCTTTCCCCCTAAGATCAGGAACAAGGAAAGACAGCCATTCTCACCATTCTTACTCAACCTGCTGCTGAAAGTTTTAGCCAGTGAAACAAGGCAAGAAAAGGAAATAAAAGGCAGAGAGTTGAGAAAGGAAGAAATAAAACTGTCCCTATATTTGCAGATGACATGATTATCTACACAGAAAATCCCAAGAATTCTCAAAAAAAAAAAAAAATCTAGAATTAATGAATTTGGCAAAGTCACAGGATACAAAATAAACACACAAAACCAACTGTATTTCCAAATAGTAGCAAAGAACACATGGAATACAATATACAATACGAATACAAATACAAAATACAATAACATTTGCAATCACTCAAAAACAAGTATTTAGGTGTAAATCTAACAAAACATGCACAACAATATTGAAATTAGGTCAATTAATAACACTGCAATGGCCTCTAGGTTTTCAAGTGACAGGAAGCATTGTTAGTCTCTGATTTTATATCAAAAGTTAGAAATGATTAAGCTTAGTGAGGAAGGCATGATAAAAGCCAAGATAGGTTGAATATTAGGCCCCTTGCACCAAACAGCCAAGTTGTGAATATAAAAATAAAAATATTAGCCAGGCATGGTGGTTGTACCCATAGTTCCAGCTACTCGGGAGGCTAAGGTGGGAGGATCGCTTGAGGCCTGCAGTTCAAGGCTGCAGAGAGCTGAGATTGTGCCACTGAACTACAGCCTGGGTAAAAGAGTGAGACCCTATCACACACAAAAAGAAAAAAAACAAAAAACTAAAAAACTAAATCAAAGCAACTGATCTTTGAGAAGTGATAATTGCATTATCAAAGTACCTAATCGTGACAATACCCTAACTTAAAACCTGCTGACTAGGGGATGTATTTGACTGCAAATCTGGCCCACACAAGCAATCTGAGTTTCCATCAAGGAAGCTGTAAGCACCAAGTAGAGCAAAACCAAATCCAGGCCTCAAATGGAAAAAGCAGCTCTGAATTGTGATTTTCGAAGAAACCTGCATTTCTTACACTTCAGTGTACTTTCCCCATATTTAACTCCAAGATTTTTGTTAATTTGTTTCGTTTTTCTTTCTCAAACAAAATTCTCAGACTGAAAACCCTAGATTTGTTCCCTATTGCATCTTCATTTCTTCCCAAACCGTCCATAAAACCTCACCTACATTAAGTTAGTAAGTTAAGTCTGAAAGTATCTACCTTCCCTGGGGAGGGGGGAGGTGTAGGCAGGGCAGAGAGATTTGTAGTCCAGCCCTCTTGCCACAAATTATGAATTAGAGAGGAAGGATTTTGCCTTTTTAACGATCTCCAGAGAATTTTCCATCATTTCCCTCTCGTCACCCAGCTCCTTTGTAACCACTTCCAGAGAAGTCTTCCTTTAGCTTCTTAAACATCGATCCTAAAACACTTCCAGACACCTGTGCTGCTCCTTTCTGTTCCCATGGAAAGTAGTCTCTGTAACAATCTCGCAAAGCCGTTCCCCTCCGTCTCCTCATCCTCTTTTCAAATCCTTTTACGATTTCTCATCTCACTCAGCATGACAGTCAAAGTCCCTGTGAAGGCCAACTTCTACATCACTTAGCCAGCCTGCCACCTCCAAAACTCTCCAGCCTCATCTTTCTACTCTTCTCCTGGTTCCTTGTCCACGCCTTTACACTTGTTCTCTGCTTGGAATCCTCCCGCCCTTCCTTGAGGAACTTTCTCAAATGTCACCTTCCCTCAATACTCCCCCTCCTTCATTTAAAACTATAAACTTCCAACTCTCTAAGCCTCTAAAGAACTCTATATTTAACTTATTGTTAAATATGTGCTGAACACCTGGTCCTGTCCAAGTTTGTTAAATCAAGACAAATAAGACACTGTCCCTGCCTTTAAGGCCCCAGAGGGAGAAATGCACCACAGACATCAATGTGCAATACAGGACTGATACTAAGGCCACAGGCAAGTCAAAGAACGCGTGCCAAAAGTTCAGAGGAAGAGGCCTCGGCTTCGCTTCTGGCTTCTGGAGACCAGTCCAGCTTTCCACCATCACGCAGCTCACCAGGGACCATCTCCGGGGGTCTCCTCTAGACCCCAAGAGACGAGCGGGTCCCGCTCACCATTCCCAGGTCTGAGAGTTTACTTGTCCACAGAAGCAACTTCCGGCCTCTGCAGGCCGGGCAAGAGATTTAAGGAAAGAAAAGAAATATATGGACCTCCGCTCTTCGGTCTCCGTCCCCTCCCCCTCCCCCGCGTGCCGTCCCCACAACGGTCCAGTACTGAACCCAACTCTCAACCTACTCCCATCCGCGAAACTAACCGCTCTACTTCCGTGGTCCCCACCTGCTCCCGGCGTCCCCTTCGGCTACTCCCAGCGCGTGCGCAAGCAGTCCCACGTGGGCTCGGGCGGGGCTGGCGCCGCGGCGGGGGCTGGGCACGCCCCTAGCACAGAGCTGGCTTCTGATTGGCTTTCCGGTGCTCGCCCGAGCGGGGTTGGGGCGAGTGAACCGCGCCTCTAAAAGCGCTTGCCAGTGCAGTCTGAGCGATCGTTTCCTGGTCCTCGCCTCCTCCGCAGTCTCCCTGGAGTTCTTGCAAGGCGGCCAGGATGTCTCAGGTACAGCGCGTGCACAGCCAGGCTGGGACGGTGCAGCGGGCTGGAGGCCTGTTGGTGGCTCACCAGGCAGCCAGAAACTCTCGGGCTCTTTCCTTCCGTGCCCCGCAGTTCCTCCTGGACCCATGCCCAGCCCTGATTCGTTGGACAGAGCTTTGTGAGCGGGATTTTCCGTTTGGGGATTTCTAACTCTGCTGCCCACCCCGCAACTGCCGGAAAGTTGCCCATGGGGTGGACTTCGCTGTGTAGCGGGAGAGGAGTGGGAGTCGAGGGTGCTCGATGGAAAGATGGGGGAAGGGGTTGCACGGATTGGAGGAGCGAGGAGACTCAGTCCCCATCCCGAAGCACAGGGCGGGACGTCGCGGCGGAGTGGGGAAGCGAGGAGGCCGTGGACGGGAGCTTGGAGGTCAGGGGAAGTACGGGGCCGGGTTCTCCGAGTGCGGGACGAGGAGAATCGCGGGCGGGGAGAGGTGACCCAGGGACCCCTCCTTTCCCTCCAGCGTAGACCCTTATCGGAGACCAAGCTATGTGGGGCGACCTCTGGCCCCTCCCGCCTGCCTCTGCCAATCCGGGCACTGGGACAGAGGTCAGTGTTGAATGCCCAGGCCCCAGGGGGAGGGAGGGGACCAACGGGCTCCGGCTCTGACACCGGGGCACTTATGCCCTGTCCCCTTTCAGAGGTTTCCAGCATGCTGTGCCGCCTCTGTCCCCAGGCCAGGGCTTAGCTGAAACCCCGGCCACTCCCTAGTGCCTGGCACGGTGGTGGCCAGGCAGTTGGCCACGCTGCTTCTCCCACTTCTCCCGTGGGGTGGACACCCACTGCGGGCAAAGGCTTGGCCTGCCCTCTTCACTGCTGTATTTCCAGACCTGATGCCTGCGTTTGTGAGAGCGCTGGATACAGGGTTTTCGATTGAATGAGTGAACTGGAGGGGCTTCCCCTTCTTGTGTTGCTGAATCTTTCTAGCTGCCCTGTTGGGGCAGGGTGGGGCAGACACACTTCAGGGGCTGCATTGCCCGAAGGGTGCCACCTTTCCCACCTCTCCATCCCTGTAACTGGACTCTGTTCAGGCCACAGCAGGACTCCTACCCTCTCCCACCCAGAGGAGGCCCTCAGTCCTCTCCTCTCCCTTCCATTTAGGCTGAGTTTGAGAAAGCTGCAGAGGAGGTTAAGCGCCTTAAGACCAAGCCAGCCGATGATGAGATGCTGTTCATCTATGGCCGCTACAAACAAGCAACCGTGGGCGACATAAATACAGGTATGCGGAGCGGGGGTTGGGAGGGCCTCTTCTCATCAAAGCAGGCTCAGCAGCCCAGACTGGAAGTCCCTGGGAACTTCACTCTCAAACTGCCTGAGGCCCTACTCTTCAGTTGGGGTATGGTGATGGTTCCTGGGTTGGAAAAGACAGTGTTCCGGATTCTCAGTGTCTCCAGTAGTAGCAGAATTCAAATCCTGGCTTTAGAAGGTCTTTACTGGTTATCACCAGCAGCTCCTCTCCACTAGGGAAGAAGCAAAGGCTGCAGCTTGGAAAAGACTTGCTGTAGGCTCTCAGCTCAGTGGCATCATTGTTGAGCCGTTCAGCTTCTGCCCTAGATGGGCAGGATCAAAGGTGGAGCACTTGACAGCCTGGTCAAGCCTGATGTCAGGAGCAGAGAAGCACCTGGTTCCTTGGGCCAGGTCAGAGCATTTCGCTAACAAGTCTGTGCCTTCCTGATGACAACTTTTTCCCTGTCCGAAAATCTTGGTGCAGATTTTGAGGCTGTACTTTGGACTATCATGTTCTGTAATAACGTCTTTCCTACCTTGGGCAGGTTTCATTCTGTCCCTAAGTCCCTGAAACATGGGTGGATACTGAGGCAACAGCACAGTGCATTCTGTGCAAGGACTCAGGGTTGTCATGGCAGCACAGACGGGAGGTCTCCCCTGCCCCTGTTGAGGAGGAAAGTGAGCATGGTCTCCATTTCCACAGTAGCTGGGGTGGAAGATGGAGCATGTGGGCTGGCTGTCAGCCAGCTAGAAGCAGGAAATGGCACCCAGAATGACAGATCGCAGGCAGTACCAAATCAAACCCTGGGGTTCACATGGAGCACTTAGTTGAGGAAGGTCTTGTGGTGAAGATGGGTTTTACAGTGAGTTCGTAAACTCTGTCCTTCCAGGGAGGGGAAGGAAAGGTGAAGTGGAGGAGGCCAGAGGTGCTGAGATGCTTTTCTGACAGTGTTTTCACAGAGACTGGCCTGTGCTGATACTAGAGTTACCGGTTTTCACATGAGTCTAGATAGACTGGCATGGGAATCTTTCACTTACTGATCAAAGAGGTATCATTGGCTCTCTAGGGCTGTACTATACAGCCCTATTACACGATTATAAAACATGACAGTCCAAACACAATAGTTTAGTACAATAGCCAGTAGCCACATATGACTCTATAAATTTTAACTGAGGCTGGGCGCAGTGACTCACGCCTGTAATCCCAGCACTTTGGGAGGCCGAGGCGGGTGGATCACGAGGTCAGGAGTTTGAGACTAACCTGGCCAACATAGTGAAACCCATCTCTACTAAAAATACAAAAATTAGCTGGGCATGGTGGCACGTGTCCGTAGTCCCAGATACTTGGGAGGCTGAGACAGGAGAATCGCTTGAATCTGGGGAGGTAGAGGTTGTGGTGAGCTGAAGACGCACCACTGCACTCCAGCCTGGTCAACAGAACGAGACTCTGTCTCAAAAAAAAAAAAACAAACTAAAAATAGTTAAATAAAATCAAGTTTAGTCTTCATTCACAGGAGCCACATTTCAGATGCCCAGTAGTCATTTCAGGTACTTGGTGTGGCAAGTGGCTCCTGAATTGGACATTGCAAATATACATGTACATTTCCATTTCCATCGCTTGGAGAGAGCTGTCGAGGAGTGCTATTCTAGGATCCTGATGATGACCGCAAGGGCAGTTTGTTTCAGCTGTTCCTGGGAACAGTTCCCTGAAAGCGCTCAGGAACATTTTCTCAGACACAGTGCTCCAGGCTACGGACGCTGTTCCCTTTGGCTTTGGGGCTGGGCGTGTTAGTGAAATAGGACAACAGGGAGATGGTGAGTATGTTTCCCAACTGCAGATGATAACAGGTCTATAAGCATAAAGTCATCATGTAACTTAAAGAAACCTTACCCTCGGTGAAAACGCCCACAGAGCAGCAAGAAATAGACTAACAATTTGGTAGAAAAATGGGGCTAGGATATAAACAGTTCATGGGAAAGGACACTTGATATCATTACTGATTAGGGAGAGAAATTGGGTAGCTAAGAGCAGGGGTGGGAGAGAAACTTTATAGTATTTTCCTCTGTCGCTTTTGAATTTTAAGCCATATGAATGGATGTTTTAAAAACAATTGTAATTAAAGTATAATTTTTTTAAAGGAGAAATTTTGGAGTCACTTAACTTGTAAGAAAAAGGTTATCTTGTAATAAGAATAGTGTTCTTCCTATTTGCTCTAGATTTTAAGTTTGGATTGGCGTATATCTGGTTTTCTTAGGGCAGAACCCACTCTACTAGACCTATTTAACCCCATGAGAGAGCCTAGAAGGAACAGGTGTAATAGAAGATGGCATTTATGGCAAGAAGGTTGATCAAGTTCTCCATTAGAATTCAAACCAGATCTAATGCCTTTTCTTTCCTTGTTTAAGAACGGCCCGGGATGTTGGACTTCACGGGCAAGGCCAAGTGGGATGCCTGGAATGAGCTGAAAGGTAATTGTTCTAATCAATTTCCTTCATTTGTGAAACCCAGTAATGAAAGAGTCTTCATTATGAAGTGTAAAGGAAGAGGAGAGGAAACAAAGTCAATGGGGCACGTGTGGGAAACCAGCCGGAGCTGTGCCAGAATGGGAAAAAACTGGGCCACCTACTTTTTTTCCTAACACTGTTTATGCCTTTTCTAAAAGCACCATCTCTGAGCAGGAGTATCATTTAGAGAGGAGGGGCTGGGAATCAGGCCACTGAAAAATAGTTTTGGAAATAATGTAGTTGGCGTGGGCTTCGGATGTGTTCAGAATAAGGGGTGGTTTCCTGTCTGCAGCTCCCTCTCCCCTACAAGGCCAGGCGGTGACCTCCTAACCCCAGTGGCCCTCCCCAGTTCCCTCCTAGCCAGAAGGGTACATAAAAGAAGGGAATGAGCTAATGCATGGCCTGCCACTGGCATCGTAGGCTCAGTGAATGGAGCCATTATATGCTAAGCACCAGCAGCCAAGAAGTATCCAAGCTCGTACTTAATCACGTGCCACCTGCAGCAGCAAGACCCAAGAGTTGGCACCAAAACTCCTGGCAGCATTGGCGTTCCTGCTGGCTAGTTTCTGAATAAGCCCTCTGTCTTTCTGCATATGAGCAATCCTTGAATTCAGAAAGGGTTACGATACAATAAACATACTCCCAGGATCTGCAAGTAACTGGGAAGGGAATGCCCGTCTGCCTGGCCGTTTTCATGGGACATTTCCATACCATCCTCAGGCCCCATACTCTCCAGTGCTTCACGACAAGCTCTGAGTTCCAGAGGGTCTCTCTCCTTCACCACAGAATCTAGGAAACTGGGTGTCACTGTCTCTGAGGGATACCTTCCGTGTCCTTTCTACTGCAGCAAGAAGACAAAGATTTGCCTCATTCCCCTCCAAGAAGCAACCACTTTTGCTCAGAGTTCCTGAAACTTTTCTCATAGCCTCCCTCTGGGGAGAAGAAGGTGCCTGACTTTGCTTTTTCACTGCCAGCTTAACAGCTCTGGGAGATAGGAGCCCAACCCAGAGACACTGAAAAGGCCAAAGCCAATGTCAGCCACGAGAGTCAGCAGGACCAGTAAAGTCACCACGGTGACAGTTTCTTGCCCGTCTGGAGGGTGGCGCCTCTCCCCCGAGGCTTACACTGGCCATTACCCCCGGGACAGGTGGGGGATGCAGATGTCCAGCAGATGGGCGACAGGTCTTGGCCAGCCCCACCAGGCTTTCTGAGTACGGTGGCTTATAGAGCATTCACTTCGGGCCAGGTTCCATGGATACTGTCTCCTCCAACATGTAATTAGTAGAATCTCAACTTTATAAGTGAGAAACTGAGCCTCGGAGAGTTACAGCAGAGCTGTCTGGGGTTCTGGAAGCTGCTTATTTCCTACCACGCTGCCTCCCTGACAAATAATCCTATCGATTCCTTACAGGGACTACCAAGGAAGATGCCATGAAAGCTTACATCGACAAAGTAGAAGAGCTAAAGAAAAAATACGGGATATGAGTGACTGGATTTGGTTACTAGGCCATGTGTTTCTCCTAAACTGAGACAATGCCTTGTTTTTTCTAATACCATGGATGGTGGGAATTCCGGAAAATAACCAGTTAGCCCAGCTACTCAAGGCTGCTCACCATACGGCTCTAACAGATTAGAGGCTAAAACGATTACTGACCTTCCTTGAGTAGTTTTTATCTGAGATCAATTAAAAGTGTATTTGTTACTTTAAATAACTTTAGTGATCTGAGTTCTTGAGATGACTTGCTCTGTCTGACCTCAGCCTTGCTTCCTTTCTCTAAAGACCTCTGGTAGTGCTTCAGCTGCGTACCTGGTAGGGTATGAGGCAGGCGGTCCTGCCCTGCACCCTGGCCCAGGGTGTGCTGGCCCTTTGTGGGGAGGAGGAGGATGGTAGAAGTGGCCTTTCTCGCCTCCTTCCCAGTTCAGCCACACTGAGGAAGATGAGGCAGGCTGGCTGAGACCACAGTCTGCAGGTACTTCTGTCGGGGATGTTCCTGCCCCAGGCCCTGCGCGAGGCAGGGTTTACAGTGTTTGAGGTTTGTCTGAGGCCCAGCTGGTCCCTTATTCCAGAGTGCACGAGCCAGGGTAGAAACCCTCATCAGGAATGGAGTGTGAACCTGACAGGAGGCGTTCCCCAAGTCCCAGGGGAAGCCACAGACAGCTGTCTAGGCAACAGTTAGTGGGCAAGGTGTGTGTCCTCTGCAGGCAGCAGGGAGAAAATCCTGGGAGCTTGCAGAGGGGAAAGGCTGGAGCTTGACTCTGGAGGACGTAGGAGGTAGGTTGTTGAAAAGTAATATCGAAGAAAAGGAGACAGCTCTCTAGACCCTTCTTGCCAGATGTTCCCCTCCAGCTCTGGATTTACAATCCCACTGCCCTTTGCGGTAGGGATCATACCTCAATATTGTGTAATGGGGATTACTGTGCCCATTATTTGAGTGAAGAAATGAAGGCTCAGAGGTGATTTAACTGGATCCAAGCCCAGGGCTTACTGGCCGGGAGGGCCCTGTTTGTCCCCCTCCACAACGTTCCCTCTCATGGCCCCTGGCTGCCACTTAGTCTGCATCTCTGCTGTGGCGCAGCGAGTGACATCTGTCTCTGGGCTAGCATAAGGTGCTGGTGTGAAATCTGTCCCTTGACTGTGCAGCTCATTCCGGAAGAGTGGCTTAGACAATGAGGTCCCACTTCCAAAGCTGGAGTGAGGCACAGATGACAGAGACTTTTAGGCACCTCAGGTGACTAGGTCATAGCCGGTTTGGGAGATGCCCTCCCCCCTCACTAGCAAGTACTTTACTGGTTTCTCAGAAAGTACTGTTTGTGCAGTTCTGAGAGCACCAGCAGCCTGGGGCTGCACCTGCTCCTGTGGATCCCACAGGAGTCCTTGTACCACCCAGGGCTGGCTCACAGGGTGTCAGTTGGGGACAAATTATAGGGGGAACCTGCCCCCAATATTTCAACATACGTTCTATTTTCCATAAGTGTCGGCCAGCAGAGAAATAAAGAGAAAGAGTACAAAGAGAGGAATTTTAAGGCTGGGCCACCAGGGGTGACATCACATATCGGTAGGACCGTAATGCCCACCTGAGCCTCAAACCAGCTAGTTTTTTATTAAGAGTTTCAAAAGGGGAGGAGATGTAAAACAGATACAAAGATCATGTGCTTCAAAAGGCAAAAAGCAGAACTACTAATAAGGGCCTAACAAAGATCACATGCTTCTGAGGGAACAGGACAAAGGGCAAAAGCAGAACTACTGATAAGGGTCTATGTTCAGTGGTGCATGTATTGTCCTGATAAACATCTTAAACAACAGAAAACAGGGTTTGAGAGCAGAGAACCTGTCTGACCACAAATTTACCAGGACGGAGTTTTTCCCCACCCTACTAAGCCTGAGGGTACTACAGGAGACAAGGGTATATCTCAGTCCTTATCTCAACTGCATATGACAGACATTCCCAGAGCAGCGTTTATAGACCTCCCCCCTAGGAACACATTTCTTTCTCAGGGTATTAATATTAATATTCGTTGCTAGGAAAAGAATTTGGTGATGTCTTCCCTACTTGCACACCTGTTTATAGGTTCTCTGCAAGAAGAAAAATTTGGCTGTTTTTGCCCAACCCCGCAGGCAGTCAGACCTCATGGTTGTCTTCCCTTGTTTCCTAAAAATTGCTGTTATTCTGTTCTTTTTCAAGGTGCACAGATTTCATATTGTTCAAACACATATGTTTTACAATCAATTTGTACAGTTAACACAATTACCACAGTGGTCCTGAGGTGACGTACATCCTCAGCTTACAAAGATAACAGGATTAAGAGATTAAAGTAAAGACAGGCATAAGAAATTATAAAAGTATTATTTGGGAACTGATAAATGTCCATGAAATCTTCACAATTTATGTTCCTCTGCTGCGGCTCCAGCCAGTCCCTCTGTTCGGGGTCCCTGACTTCCTGCAACATCTCTCCCTTTCTTTTTATATAAATGTGCCATGGCGATGAAGTCTTGTTCATTCTCTTGGTTTTGACGCAGGATTCTTTGACTGGTCCAGCACACTAAAAACAAGCCAATTAAACAGAGAAACATGATTCCAAAATTTACTACAGTGGAGCCCCCAACAGACTTAATCCAAGTCGTGGGGTTTAGTCCAGAAAGACTTTCTGCCACCTGATGTAACGCCTCAGCTCCAGGCACAATGGATAAATGAGCTTGAGAGGCTTCAAAATTTGTTTCTTTGGGGGAGGGGGGAGGGATTGCATTGGGAGTTATACCTGATGTAAATGAGGAGTTGATGGGTGCTGACGAGTTGATGGCTGCAGCACACCAACATGGCACAAGTATACATATGTAACAAACCTGCACGTAATGCACATGTACCCTAGAACTCAAAGTATAATAATAAAAAAAAAAATGAAAAAAAAAATTTGTTTCTTTAATTTAGTTATGTCCAATGGTAAATTATCTTCCCTACCCAGAAGGTGTCCTTTGACCATTTCCCACAAATGATCAGTCTTGTTGTAGGAATATGGTATGATGAAGAAATCAGAAGTATTCCAATCACACTGCATTTGCATGCAATGTTCGAGACTCACTACCCGATCTCCAAGCAAAATAACAGACTGTCTTAAATCATTAATTTGATTAGCTAATTTTTGATCAATGCCCTGTTGAGAATTCCACATTTGGGTAGAATTGGCTTGTCAATCATTAACAAAATGAGCCGTTTGAATAGATTGGTGTAATGCCATTCCAGCAGTGGTGGCCAGTGCAGTAACCGTAATTAGGCCCATGATCACAGCGATTAAAGTGAAAACAAATCTCTTAGATCTTTTGAGAATTTGTTGTAACACTTCATCAATTAAATGTACTGAGGGGGAAGATTCCCAAGATCTGGGTAAAGTTACCAGTATCCAGATTCCTTCTTGAGCTCGAACCAACATTACACTTTTCCTGAAGTCAAAACGGGAGTTAACACAAGTGTATAAATGACAATTAATGCACTGGACAGTTTGATTGTTCATCCAAATTTTGATATTTCCCACTAACAGCGTGTAAGGAGGCTTGACACAACTCTGTATAGGAATTGTCAGGCTGGAGGTAAACAAAGCAGAATGTTTGAATCTACGTTGATACTGAGGAAGAGGGACGACAGTGGCAACACCTGATGTTCTCCGCCATAAAGAAGCAATCCAAGGTGCCTGGGGATGCTGAAGAGGTACAGGGGCATACCTGGGTCGAGAAGAATTATAATGCCAATTGCAGTCCCATAAAGGAGGGTCGGCATCAAAAAGAGGAAAAGGGTTCAAAGGGGATTTATCATGGGGTTCAGAATCGCGGATGCGAGGGGCAGTAGTGGGGATAACAGAAAAGTTTCCCCTTCCCATACTCGCAGTCTGTACATGGCAATAGCCAATTTCCAAAGTTCTGGGTGTTCTGGGCTCAGAATGGAGAATATCATACCCTTGTAAAGGGGGGTAATGCCCTTATCTTCCCATTTCAGAACGAGCTGAACCTCCTATGCAAAGTAAGATGAAGAGCCTCGTCCTCCCAATAAGAAATAAAATAAGTAGCCTCCAGGCATTCCCTGCCGCCAGAGGAATAGTTGTTTTTTTAAATAGCCTTTTGGTGCCCAGTCTATTACTAAATCATATGAGTAATACTACTGCATGTGAGTTAACACAATCTTCCCGAATTAAAGTTTTAGATGGACCCTCAAAATTTTTAGGACATGGTTTTCCTACAGGTTTATACTGAAAGTATGGGGTATCTCCTATTACTCCCCTTTTTATTTGTATTAAAGGAGAAAGGGAGAGCTGGAGACTAAATGTCCCCATTCCCCTGTGGCTAATCTCTCTGGAAGATAAGCAGCCCAGACTTGAGTTTCTAGATAGATACAACATGTCTGAGGCACAGAGGAGGATATTTATAACCCATAGTAACATTAAATGCAGTGCCTTCTTCTGGTTGAGCGGGGCAACGGTCATCTGTAGCTCCAGGCGCACACTATCGTTAGTATAGATTTCCGCAGCAGCATCCATCCAGGTGAGAGGTCGAATAAGTGGAGGACCCCTCCGTTCAGGGTCCCTGACTTCACAACACAAATGAGATTGGCAGTGAGGGCATCACCAAGCGTCCCCTCGTCTGTGAGGGGCCCACAGCACCTCTGGTCCATCTTAGCTGGAATCTGGCTTTGGTGACACACTGACTTGTGAATCCTACTTCAGTCTCTCAGTGCTGAGTCATGTATCACCTTGAAGCCACAGTTCCTAGAATGGGTAGAATCTGCACCTCACAGTGCTGACAAGATGGGTCAGTGTTTAGCGCGGTGCCTACCCACCAGCAGCTGGTTTGCAGCCCAAAGGTCTCCCCGGCGGGCTGGCCTGGCCTGGCCACACCGTGCTGCTCCTCACCTTAGCAGGGCTCCAGAAATTTAGGGGTCAACTACGCAAGTAGGTGGGGGTTATCTGAGGATGTCCTCCCCAAACAAATAGTTCCGAGATTCACAAGTCTGGAAATCAGGACTGAGGATCAGGAGCCAGCCAGAAGGCAACATGGAAAGGCCACAGAATTTCAAGTGGCGAGGGCTTTCACTCAGTCACCCTCCAGATTAAATAGACATGGGGCAAGATGTGTCACCTCTGTAAGCCTCATATTCTTCATCAGTAAGCTGGGGCTGAACAGAAGGTCGTGTGTCCATTGAAAGCCAGAGAAGGCGAAGGAGAAAGC